TATATGGTGACTGGAAATCAGCCACAATAAACCTTACCTGGCCCAATTTGAAAGATTCTTTGGTTCCCAAAGTCAACATGAGGTCAATGTATCCTTTAGGGGGAGTGTATTCTCCATTGAAATCAATCAGCATGGTCAAACATAATCATTCAAGTCTTTTTATCCAAGTTCATCCTTTTGAATGCATCCCAACGGATGATGTTTGTGCAGCTGTCAGGGTCCACAAAGATCTTTTTAACCTGGCAGTTCACCAAGGTCATTGTTATGACTAACCCATCCACGTGTCCTGGGACCACGTCTTCGAGCTCTTCCTTAGTGAAATATAATAGTGAGGGCTCCGACTTGCTATGGTCTTCTTTGTATTTGGTCCGGTCTCTAATTAAGAGTACTTCCCTAAGGTACTTTCTTCTTGCACTTGTCGTGTTTCCTCCACTGCCCAGCGCTCCACGTATTACATTACAAATGAATTCGGCCTTTGGGAACTCGTTGCTATTGGTTTCTGGTTGTTGCCTTTGTCATCTCTCTTCTTCCTTTCTTTTATCGAGCTCTGACTCTTGGTGTGGCCCCTCTGCTTCCTTTTGCCGTTCTGCTATCCCTGCATTCTGATCAGGTATTGGCTCAACTTGTCTTCCCTAATGTGTTTCTCAATCGCGTCTCGGAGATCCCAACATTCGTCAATGAGATAGTCGGTCTGTCATGGAATACATAATATCGAGAGCGGTTGACTTTGCCTCTTTTGAAAATTGGCCTCGACCTCTCTGCCTTCTTCATCTCGGTCAATTTTATTTCTCTCCAAATTTGCAAACGTGGTACGTTCAAAAGGGCGTATTTTTCGTATCTTCCTCTCAGAGGTTGGTTATCTGAGCTATTTCCTCGGAAGTCGATCCGCCTCTTGTTCCCTTCTCGATCTTTCTCACTTCTAACTGGGCTTCTTCTCTGAGGACTACGATCTCTTGTAGTTCTTCTATGGTGGCATTCACCAACTCCATCTGCTCTAGCTCTAGGTACTTCTTCAAACAAGCTCTAAAGTCCTCCAATGTTTTTACTTGGTCCTTATAGATAGACCTTGCTAGCCAAGACATACCATTTAGCCTTGGCGCCACCAGATGCAAATGCACACTTTTCTTCAGACCTGAGACTTGCAAGATTCTTGAAGCGGTCCAAGTACTTATGGAGTGTCTTCCTTTGTTGCTATTTGACAGCTCCCAAAATGAACTTAGACATAGGATGCTTTTTACTAGTGGTAAAGTTGAGTATAAACTTGTTTGCAAATTCTTCAAATGATCCAATCAAATTTGGCAGCAACCTGGAGAACCACGACATCACGGCTCCTGTTAATGTTGATGCGAAAATACGTGAAATGATTGGCTCCTGAGTCCCTTTCACGTACATATCTGTGTCGAATACGTCGAGGTGCACCTCAAGATCCTGGCTCCCATCGTACTTTGGCAAATGTGTCGAGTTCCATCCCTCTGGATGTGGTGTGTTCTCAATGCTGTCGATGAATGGGTTGTTGTTATACTGCCATTTGCGATACTTTCTTTTGTATGCATCTCCCTCACCTTAGTTTTGGATTGGTATCCTGGTTGCGATTAGTGTTCTGGGCTTCTTCATCTCGGCTGTTATTGATATGTCGACCTTAATTTATTTCCTCATTCATGATTATGCTGCCATTATTTTCATCTCGGCCGTTGTTGGTTACTTGACCTAAGTTGTTCCCTTCATTTCTGTTTCTGCCGCTGCTAGTTTCCTCTCTGTCGAGGTTGATATCTCGACCCTCTTATCTTCTTTTGCTTCACTCAGCTCGGACTCAGTCTCCTCTATTTTTCGGGTTGCCCCTCTGGAGCAAACACTCTTCTAGATCTCGGATCCTCTGGGCATCCATTTGTCTCTGGATCTAGTTGTGATTCTCTATTTCCTTCATTCGTTGCAGAATGGCATTCAAGGCAGTCACCAATATACTGTGATCGACGTTCACAACTGGTTGTGGCCAAGGTAGTCAAAATCGGGATTTTACCTAAAATCCAAAAGGGAATAAAAAATCGTAAATCGTAAAATCGTAATACAAATCGTAGATTTTACCTGCACTCTAAATTTAAATTTTTATATACATATGCTTATGTATAAAATTTTTTTTTAAAAAAATAGACTACCTGCCATCATCCTTATACATTTGCATACAATTGTCACACGCTAAGGGTCTAAGCTAATAAATTATTATCATCGAAGACATTCTGTTCCACGTGATCTTCAACTACATCATTCAAAATTGTCTTCATCTAAACTTTCATCATGAGATAAAGTTTCTTCATTTTCTATAATTCATTCATCTTCGGATGAAACATCAGCAATGTTATATTCAACAATTTTTCTAACTTGCTTAACATTATTCCAATAGTTAAAATCGGAATTTAAATCTTAAAATCGGGACTTAAGTAAATGTCTAAATCGGAATTTTATATTGGGAAGGATTTTAAGTGAAATCTAAATCGTTTTAGCAAAAATAAATCGTTAAAATCGGGATTTTAAGATTTAAATCCAGATTTTAACTACCATGGTTGTGGCTGCCCTAGTTTGGTTTGCATTAGTTCGGGCTGTATTTACGAGTTCAGCACTAGTGTCGAGGCTGTATCGAAGACTACATCGCTGACGTGAACCGCGTTATAGTAAAAAATTGGTCCGTTGTCAAGATTGGGCTCATTAAAGGGTTGCTCCATCAAGACTGGATTCGTGGCGGCAGAGGTTGTTAGTAGCTGTTACTTCTTGTATTCACCATGTTAATCATGGGGGGTAGAAGTTTACTGTTCCCCACAGACGGCGCCATTGTTCTGTCCTAGAGTTATAGATGTCTAGTTAGACATTAATGAATTTATTTTGGATCTAAGGGCTCTCTCCCAGGTATATATCAAGGACATACCTTTGAGAGTAACAGATCTCTAAGCACTGGGTATAACGACGTTGTCAAAGGGGTGACATGTGTGCACAGTAATAATATAACAATAGAGAGAATGTGTCATATATGTGAGTTTTACCTCTTATTTATAGGGTTTAGCTGTGGGTAGTGAAATTCTATATCTTTGGTGGCTTTTCTCGGGGCCCAAGTCAAGATTCATAACTGTCGTATTAGGATTAGTAGCAATTAATAATTCTTTTCTTTATTTGCTTTAGCTTCTTCTTTCTGTTGCCCTTTCATAGACCTTCTAAAATATGGACCTCTTACACGAGCCCATAACACATTCAAAATATGAGTTTTAATAATAATTTTTGTGGAAAAATTATACTAATTATCTCTCTCTATTACTTAGAATGATCAATGCACTTGTTGCGAGCCGCAACAACATGATTCACCCAACAACTTAATGAAAAAAATATTTAATTAAACTATCAAAATAACATAAATCTGGAAATAACTAAATTTTTGAAAGGTAAATTAACAAAATTAATATTTAAAAAGAAATTTATTTTGGATTCAATGAATGTGCTAAGCACGTAATGGTGTGTAACTTTTTGCCTAAAGATCTTTTGCAGTTTAATGTATAGCATCATAAATAATAACACATCGTCTAATTTCAGCATTTCACTTATCTTAAACCAAATAGAGTGTTAGACCAATTGGTATCGCAACACCCACTAAAAACTACTAAAATTAAAAGTAAATTTCATTAAATATTGGTACATATGAAAATAACTAAATACGTACTAACATTTTCAAATAATATTGAAAAATTCTTAATTTAAAGAGAAAACTCGTTGAAGAATCATGATAGAGAAATATTAAGAGAACGTTTAGTTTTTTTTTTTAGTTTTGTTTTACGAGTAATTATAAAATTATCATTTTATTTGTTCACCTTCCTTTTTAATTTTAAAAATGATGAAAACAACTGTTGTTTCAACCATTTCTTATACTAATGGTGAATTATGCTCCTCTTATATTAGCAATGATTGGCAGGTAGTTAATAGTTTAAACAAGAGAGAACAGGAAAGAACGATGCAAATAAGATAAAGGGTATTGTTTACAGTGTATAGTAATTATTCTCAAATTATATTTTAATTTTAAGTAAGGAAAAAATATTTATTCTTTTAAAGTATAGTCATTTTAGTTAAAATAATTATTTTTATTTAATATTTAAATTAAAAAATAAATAGAGAGGTTATATTTACAATCTCTTTTCCCTTACAACTTCTTACAAGTATTTTTATGATTATTGGATAAAAATCAAATCAATTGTTACAAAAAGCCATTAAATCAGTTCCGTTAATTTGATTTTTATACAACGACTATAAAAGTAGTTATAAGAGGTTGTAACTTGTAAGAAAAAAGTAGAGGTGTAAATTGGTTAGGTTGGCTATAAGGGCGTATAACATAACCTATATTAGACTAGACTTAACTTATTAAAAATAGTCAAATAGAACATGCCTAGACTATTAAAAAACTTATTTAGAAAATAGACCATATGTTTTTTTTTTACATGTCGGGCCTATACGCCTACAAGCCTGCCTATATTTTAGTTATTTTGAATAATAAAGTAATATTATTTTAGTTATTTTTTTAATTATTGAATGTTTAATAGGTTTAAAAGACTAACAGACTTAAGTCAAGATTTTTATTTTTTAAATATAGGTCAAGTCAGACTTATAATTTGATCCTATATAAGCTAATAGGTCAGTCCAGATCTAAGTTTTTTTTCACAGACATTGCCTATTTAAATCAAAGCCTAATCTAATCTCTATGTACCGATAGAAAAAAAGGTGAAATTGCAATAAAGAATAATAAATTAAAGTGCAATAATATTACCTCTCACCAAAAAAAAGGACAAAAAAAAAAGAAGAGGAGTAAATTGGTTAAGTTGACCTACAAAATTTTATGGCCCAGCCTGTATTAATCTAGAGTTAGCTTATTACGAATAGTCAAATATAGATGTTAATTTGTACCTTAATATTGTGAAAATTACAACGACATTAATAAATAAAGAGGGCTGAGTCCAGCATAAGAAGATGAAATTAATTATGAATGTTAAGTTGATAAACTAAGCTTTGTACCTTCTTCCTATGTTAAGTGTAACATTTCTTCTTACCGAGGTAGTGGCCGCTGTAGAAGAAAGCTACGCGAATCATGGATTGGCTTAGACATAGCTTTTCGAGGAGTTCAAGAAATAGCAAAAGCCCAAATACCCAAACACAATCGAATTCCAAAGGACGAAAAGAAGAAGAAGAAGAAGAACGCATATATGGGATTACTGAGGAACTCATAAACCACGTGAAGTCCTTCACCGTTGACACGTTTAAGAATTTCCCTCTCCAAGGTTCTTCCTTTATTATTTTTTGTTTTGTTCTGAATTTTCTGCCTCTTTTTTTTCCCAAATTGAAGAAAATGGAAAGAAATAATGGGGTTTATGGGTCCCATCTTTTGATTACCAGTTTTCATAATTTTGGTTGTCTTTCTTTACCCAGAAACCCATATGATATGAATTTCTTTAATTTTCTATGCCAAGTAATAATGGGTTGGTTGGAACTGTTCTAATGAAAAGCAAAATTTAGGAGCTGTTGAAACTTTTAAAATCTTGTGAGTTTGTAGCAGAAAATCTGTGTCATAAGGTCTGCATGACAATCATTTTGTTCCTAACACTCTTTTTTGAAAAGAAATCTATTTCAGTGTTTTAGAACAGTTTTTGAGAGAGAGAAATGTGGATGATAATATGTTCTATTTTTATTCTGAGAATGAGAATTGCGTTTGCTAATACAACAAATAATAGAATAAAAAATTATTCCTATTAAACATAAAAGATTTTGGATCATCACTTTTCTTTTCATATGGTGATGGTGATGGTGATGGTGATGGTGATGGTGATGGTGATGGTGATGGTGATGGTGATGGTGATAGTGATGGTGGTGGTGGTAGTGGTGACGGTGGCAGTGATAGTGGCGGTGACATCGTGATGGTGGTGACGAGGGCAATGGTGGTATGATGACGGCGGTGGTGACAGTGATAATGGTCGTGTTGGGATGGTGGTAGTGGTGATGATGGTAGTAGTGTAGAGTGATTGAGAGAGACAAATGTTTCTCATTTTGTGCCTGGAAACAAAAAAACAGAATTTTTTTTATTCTTTTGTCTGTTTCCCAACACATAAATTGAACCGGTTCTAGAACAAAAAAAAATAAACTGGTCTTGTCAAACCCTGTTTCTAAGAAGGTTGTCATGCACACCCTTAGCATTCTTCGTAGGAAAATCCATTAACGATGCAGTGTTATTTCTTGTCCATCTATTGATTGTATTTAATATTTTTTTATTTTATTTTAACTTTTTTTTGGGTGTAGATGAAGATGAAGCCACTTATGGTGAAGAAGCTCAATCCACTTCAAACAAAGTTCGAACTGATCTCTCTCAGTGGCAAGAGAAACATGCAACCCTCATACTCTCTAGAGTCAAGGTCTGTTTTCAATTGTTCCTTTGGGTGATATCAAGGTTTCTTGCCATTGTTCTTGCTTGTGATGTTGAACTACCAAATTGTAAAACTAGCTATGCTCATTTATACAAATAGAGGACTTTACCAGTTTACCTTCCTCCATATCCCGGGTATTGCAATGTCGATGACACCTTCAATTGACTCTATAAAATCATGTCTGTTGTTCTAGCCTGCTTGCATTACATTGCACAGAGTTCACCCTCTTGACTAGCTAGTAGTCTTAGTACAAATAACTCTACTTTTTAAATAGCGTTCCTATATTGTCTATGTTGGCTTTAAATGATTGTAGGAGCCTTAGAATGTAAATTAATATCTTTTTCCAAATTGGGTTAATGATAACTAATGATTATTTTATCTCTTACTTGCCAATGAATGGACAGTTAACAATGTGGTACTAAAACCAATTTATCGGGATATAAGAAAAAAATTTCTTATAGTTGTGCCAGAGATTTAAAAACCTTATGATGTATTGGATAACTGATAGGTATCAGAGAAGGAAATTTAAGGAAATGGTAGTAACCTGTGATTGTATTGATGCTTCTGGAAATCGGAGTACAATGGAGACAGAAAATTGAAATCAAACAAGGTAAACAATTACAATACTGGCAATTGGAGAAGCCTCTGTTAGTTGTGTGTAATGATCACCTGCTCCTTGCTTATCTTTTCTTGTGTACACCTTAGTGACTAAGGGCCCATCGATAACAAAGAAGCACATAAAGCAAGGTACATGAAGAAAAGAAGTAGAATACATTTGTCAGAAATTGGTTTAATAGATTTACTTAGTTAATGAGTTCTTCATGCCTAAAGTGGTTTTTAGTTCGTAATAGATAACTGTGAATATAACAAAAATGAGATTTAGGAAGATAAGTTAAATGAGCTTTTAGACTCAAGCGCTCAACTGCTCGTTATTTTGAATATCAGTTGCCCATAACATGTCCAAGAAGTTGAGGGAGAAAATAAGGCAATCTTGTGCGCGGAGATAGTCGGTTGTGTGGTTTCCTATTATTTCTGCCTTTGAGTCTGTTATTCTTCTATTGTAGAAATTATTTTAACCAGCAACAAGAAAGAATAAGCAAGTGTTGAGATATATAAAAACCATTAATGTAGTCTCACTCAACGGCTTAAACTTTTGGGTTGAATTGGTTCTTTACATGGTATCAGAGCCTCGTGTCCCGAGTTCGATCCTCACCGCCCCCACTTTCTCTTGTGGAATTTCTTAGCACAGGTAGGTGGGCCTGTGCATTGTCCACCCTTCAAGCCCAGTGGGCTCTCGTGTGAGGGGGCGTGCTGAGATATATAAAAATCATTAATGTAGTCTCACCCAACAGCTTAAGCTTTTGGGTTGTGGTTTATCTTCTTTTGTGCTTTTTATTTAATTCCACTAGAAAGTGGAGGGCGGTGAGGATCGAACTCGTGACCTTATGGTCACTAAAGCTCTGATACCATGTAAAGAACCGCTTCAACCCAAAACCTTAAGTTTAAGAAATGAAACTTTTCTTTTTTTCCTTATAAATATATATTGATTGGTGAATGCAGAGTTTGGGTAGAAAATGAACAATTTTGAATTTCTAATTTGCTGACCAAGACGTTAGACTAAATTTCAATTTTCAACCAAAAGCATAACATGATAGGACACCGCCCAGTTGTTTATTTCAAAAATGCTAGGTTATAATTCTTTATCTGTGAGTCTTCTTTGGGATAAGAAATGTTTACTTCCTTCTTTGTAAGTTTCTGTTCATCTCTTCAAGGGGGTTTCTATTTATCTGATGTGCAGAGGGACTGGAGAGCTCTTTTTAACTTTGTGTGATTTTTACTTATTTTGCTTTCCTTTTCCCCCTGCCTTCTTTTACTTCCAAAGGATCCCATATTCCTGTACTTCTTTTCTCTCTTAAGAAATTCTTATTTCCTTTTAGATTTGTACTTTGCAAAAGCCAACGCTCTCAGTTCTGTTCCTATTTCATATTACCAAATACCAATTGTATTGAATGCTTAAGTTGATAAATAAGGGTTAAACTATCTATATCACACTCGCCTTTTATTGCTACTGCACAATTTTGTTTATTTATATGAACAATCCAGTTTTTATATTGAAACAAAAACCATGGAAAAGTACCATAAATGTTGAATAAATTTCTTTCGCTTATGGAAGTTATTTGGTTTTGTAATACTGTAGTCAATTGAGATGGTTCTATGTAAAATTGAGCTCATTTTGATTAAGCAGCTGCAAGCATGTTGGTATTATATTTAATGAATCATTCATTATGTAAAGGAAATTCTGTTATAGAGGACACGAGTAAGTTGGTATTATATTTAATGAATCCTTTGTTATTTAATTTTTTTTCTTTTCCTTTTTTTTTTTTCAAATTCATGCAAAAGAAAAAGTAAAAAGAGAGAAATTAATCTGTTCTTGTTACCTATGATTTTTGTCAGTCTTGTTTGATTTGTTTTGTCTGTTTTCTTATCCTGAAATTTCTTGTGCTTATTTTTACCCCTTATATGTGAAAGAAGGCAAAGAATTGCTTGGTTTTTTGAAACCCTAATTAGTAGAATTTTGGAAGGAGCTACTTGTTACTAAATGAGTATGTCAATCCTCATTTTTTGTCCTGGAACAGTGGTTATGAACCTTTTCAGAATGGCTGATTTGTGAAATGGACTGGTTACTTGATTTCTATGATATTTTGGTTTTTATTTCTAACTTATCTTGTTGAATTACCAATCTCCCTCTCTGCTTATTGAGTGAAGGGTGGATTTAAGTTAGTACTTAGTATGTGTTGAAGTCTTACAAATAATCAAACATGGAACGATAGGGGAAATTTTGTTAGCTACCTTTTTTATATACGATATTTATGGCTTTGGAGTTAAAACAAGGAGACTAAGTCTTTGTGGAAGTGAGCACCTCCCTTGTACCAAGCCAATAATAACAATCTTGCTTGACAAGTTTTGCATAGTTATTGGGCGTGTCAATAGGAGTTCAAATATTTTGCAACCGCCCCCAATTTAAACTCTTTCCATTCTAATGAAATAATCTATTAAAAAAAGTAAACAAAAATGGAAATTGGCTATCTTTGTGCTTGATATGATTCAATTGAGCTATAGAGTAACATAACAAAAGAGTTGTTAAGAGTATCAATAGGAACTTATGTGTTATTCACCATCCCCAATTGAACAGTCATCTGTGATTTGGTTACTGGCTCAATATTGATGTTCTAAAGTCATTAAGTTTTATTAGGTGTCAGTATTTCTTGATAATCTTCATCTGTAATCTGTAGGCATAAATCATTATTGCCCTAAATTGTATGCTTACTATACTTCGCACAGTCGTCAGAGAAGTTCTATGATAGGATATATTTCTCTGTTTATAGGCATATGGAGTTATGTAAATTCTAGTTAAAATAGTTTCTTGATGAATGGTGGCTTGTATCGCATATCTGCATATGCATTTAATGTTTTTTGCTTCCTATCTTTTTTAATAACTTTGTGACTTGACTTTATTCTATAAATACATAGTGGGATGGTGAAAGGAAAAATAAAAGCCGTACAATTAGTACCCTAAGTAATTCTAGTTTGGTTATATTCCAGGAAATATCTCAACTGAGATATGTACTATGTCCTCGACATTTGAAGGAAAAGCAATTCTGGAAAATATACTTTAAGCTTGCCAGGAGTCATGTTGTCGAGTAAGTTTTCCAAATTCTTTTCAATTGTTGTATGACTATTTAAAAATGATTAAAACTGATATTCTCTGACGTTTTTGCCAATTTTTGTAGATATTAGCTGCTTTGAAAATTTTTCTTTATTTTTTTTTCTTTTTCCCATCTCCTCCCTGAATTTTGTGTGTGCACACAATCACAATGATTACACTCAACACATATATCAACAAAAAAGAGAGGAAAATAAGGCATGATTCGATGAAATTTGACTCCCGTTCATTGCTGATCAGATATGAGCTACGCGCTGTACAACAGGAGAAACTGAAACGGATGGCAATGGAGGATGAGAAATCTTCCGATAACAGCCCGTATGAAGTTGAAATGGCAGAAGCAAAGCATGGAAACTTTATAGAGCCTACGTCACCCTCATAGAATGAAAGCACTTAACAATGGTTGGTAGCATGAATAGAACAGGTATTAGACTATTAGTTTCTTTAGTGATGAAGAAACTATAACGTTTCAAGTTTGAAAATACATTCCTTCGGTTGATATTATCATATTGTTCTGAAGTAAATCTCAACTATTTACTGTCAATCTGCACCTATTGACTTTGTTCTTTGATTCTTTACATAATTATGCAGAACAAAATGGTGCTGGATCTTTAGAAACCTCTGAAGGTGTGGTTCTTGGTTATAGAGGCAAGAAATTTCTTTAACTGAAAAGTTTAGAGATGCCAGAAAATCAAAACGTTTACAACTAAATCACTCTAGCACATGACTCAGCTTGCCTTTATTTTGTTTGGACATGCTTCATGAATGTCATTGGCACAAATGTTAAATTTGACAAATTAATTTTGTGTCTGATATTTGTCCCTTCTCATCATTTTTATCATCGTAGACAAATGAATATACAAAATCTGTGTGACATTGATGTTAGATACCATAATTGTTGAGAATTGCTTATTTACAAATTTTATTTCATAGCTTGTACGATTTTTAAGTGTTATGTGACATTGAGAATATGAAATTGTTTAAAGAAATACTTTCCTTTTCGAATCGTTGAAAGTAAATGCATTATTTTAAGTTTTGGCAAGGGTATCATATCATTACGCGATAGAACGTGTGTTTTTTTGGTAAATTATTTATGGAGGGACATGTCATTCCGTTTTAATCTCTTCATAGTAAATGGGATTTCAGAATTGGTCATATTTGTACATAATATGGGCACGCACATCAGTGTACCATTTTGCACAAAAAATTCCATAAAGTAAACTTGCAGTTGAACGAAACTAATTCTTTTAATAAAGTTTTTGAATTCCATAATCGATTATCTTCTCTAATTAATAATAGATTATATTGGGTCTGAGACTCAAAATTTGAATTGGGTATAGATATCCATTTATGATAAATAATAATTGATTATTTTTTGAACCAGTGATCATTTGAATGTTAGATAGCTTAATAATGAATTATCAGATGTAGATAATAAATCATTTATATCAGTAAAAGCTGGAATGATAATTTTTCTGTAGCTAACCCTTTGTAAACCTCAAACCTCCATGGTTCTTTAAATGTTTGTTTAGTGTTTTTCTTTTCTCTTGGTAGTATGTTATAATGAGATGTTTGTGATGGCTGTGTTTTCTTGTTTGAAGTTCCATGATTGAGAATGACTTTTGAGCTTAAAATCCTTTTTTAAGGTCTTAGATTTTAGCCTTCAAAAGATTGGAAATGGATGGATGATGCAGAACTACCTAATGCTCAGTTTTTTTGCCTTAGCCGTTTCCTGTTTTTGAGTAAGAGAGGATTTCATGCTTCCAGGCCGTGTTGTCTCTAAGAACACACGCTCGTATACATTTTTTTTTCCAATCGGAAATCATTTCCAAGTAAGACACTAAGCTGGGGATTTTTGGAGAATGATATGACCGTTTTTCATTAAAAAGACAATCATTTCTCTTCAAAAAGTTCAAACTTTTATTAAAAATAATATCCCTTCTCAATCCTTCTTTGCCTTGACTTAGGTTTAGATAGAAGCTAGTTTTATTTGAAACAATTTTCGCTAGGTAATAAGTTTAGCTCAGTTATTCATTATGAAAATGTATGGAGTTTTATATATTATGCGGATATAATAAATTGCATGGAAAATTATTTGTTATATATCGAGAAGTATGATCAAAATACATGCAAGGGCTACTTCTACTAGTCATTTTTACTATTTGAGAATGATATTTTGTGGTCTTTGTTTCTTGTCTGTTATTGAAGAGTGCCAACATAATATTTTAAGAAATAGCAAATGATATGACATTTTGTCATATATGTTCACCACTTCTCAGCGATAACATATGAGAAATTTTATAAGAAACATATTTACAGTAAGATCCGTATGTGGATTTTGATATTTAAAAAAAAAAAAAAACCAGGATGCGCATTCGTATCTTGACTTTCTATGTATTGTTGCAAAGTTCCTCATCTGCAATAACAGAAGAAGTATTAAAATCATACATATTCATTCCATTGTACAAAAGTACATGCATAATGAGAAAAAGAACGAGAAGGTGAGCTTTTAGGGAAAGAATCATCTCATGGGGGATGTGATCTCTGAATGTTATGACCCTTCAAAATATATTAAAGATAGTTATTGAATACATAATAACATGTTAATGTGATGATGCTTATATTTTTATTGTTCTATAGCATAAGGTTTTATCTTGACATGCATAATTTAAATGTAACTTCATAAAAGAAAGCAATAATGACAAAGGAAATGGAAGGTAAACTTTTAGAGAATATTTTTTTTTACGGGGGTGATCGCCAAAAGCTGTTATCCTTCAAGTTATATAAGTCTCCGAAGCAGAGGAATAAGAGATTTCGAAGGTTTATGGTAAAAAGGATTCCTAAGAGATGACCTATACATAGGGGGAAGCTTTTACTTTGAAGAGAGCTCTCGTTCGCCTTCAGTTGAAAAAATTTAGTCAAGAAAAAGAATAAAGCAAAGAAAGGAAATAAAGCTACGAAAAAAAGAAAGAAAGAAAGCTAAGACAAAAAGAGTATTGTTTACTTTGAATTGTTAAAAAAACAATAGGAATACATTTAACTTTTGAGTTGTTCACTTTCATTTTTAAAAAGAGTATTGTTTACTTCTAATTTGTTTCCTTATTAAAATAAAAAATTAATAACACATAATTGAGAAGTGCTAGAATAACACGTAACTGAGAAGTGCTAGAATACTCGTAATTGCATCGTATTTATTAATTAATTATTAATTTCTAATAAATCCAATAAATTATAACTTTTAGATTGACGAAAATCAACGGTGATTAGGTTGCTTGTAAATGTGGTAAACTTTTTTGATGGTAAGTACATTCTCCTCCTTTCTTTTATATTTATATATAAATGAGTAATAGAGTTTATTTAAATTTAAATTTTTATTTCTTTAAATTTTTAAATTAGTAATCAATAATTAATTTTAAAAAAACATAATTGAATATTTTTTTCTATCCCCGGTATTATAGATGTGGTAACTTCGCTAAAACAAATTAGATATCAATGAAAAAAAAACTCATTATTAATAATGAGTACGCAAGGTTCAATTGATTGTTTTTTAATAACCACTTAAAACATTAGTCCAATTAAAGAATTTAACAACAGATCAATGGATTAATCTAAACTCTTTTTTTTACGTAAATAACGCATTAAAATTAAATTTTAATTGTAAGTAATTAACTATATTTTTCAATCCATACACTACGACCTTAAAATCGGTTATAAAAAAATATGCATTCAAAATAAATCGACTTAAACGTTAGCCAAATTCTCTTTTTCCTCTTTGAATTCAATGCCAAACTTCGCAATAAAGAAATCATGCGATTTAGATTTGGAATATTTTAAATTTAAACTCTTGTGTAGGTATTCGTCGTGGTTTTCAGATGCCTTCAGTTTGAAGGCCATTTTTAAGTTGCGCCTTTTGATGCACTCTCGTGGGGCATGGTACATTAAGATGGTTATTAAAATGTTAACGCTAAATTTCGAGGCTGAGAACAAAGGTAAGTACCCTACATTAATTCTCCACATAATTAACCATACCTCCCACAGTATAGACAGAAGGTAAAGAAACTACAGAAAAGTTGACCTAGCAATTAGATATCCTCCCCCACACTAAACTATCCCATATTTTAGAAATCTATGCTCCTAACCCTATACTTGTTGAAAAAGAGCTTCAAGCAATCTAAATTGGTTAGTTAACGCTGCTAGTTGTTACATTTGCAAGTCCTAAATAGATCTTTTCTTGAACTCAATTGATAAGACATGGAACCCCATATCACTAAGGCTGGCTTAGACTAGTGATTATGTACTTGGACCCATTCGTACCGTCCAGGAAGAGGTACATCATTGACAATGTCGAAATTGTACCTGCGAAATACAGATAGACAAATTAAATATGTACATTAATAAATGGAAGAAAAAAAGAAAAAATCAACAGAAAGTTAAATTGAAAAAATAAATAAATAAAAGAGTAAATACTCTTTTTGATGCTCAGCAATTTTGACGATACTCGCTTTAGTCTCTAGCAAATAAAAAGACTATTCGTGATCCTTAAGAAATTCAAAGTGGACCAATTTTAGTCCTTTTGAGAGACTAATGTGAGTCTTTTTTGAATTTGCGAAGGACCACGATTTCGACTAAATAGATCCATTTTGAATTTTTTAAGAACCACGAATAACTTTTTTATTTGCTAGGGATTAAAGCGGGCATCATGAAATTTGCTTACGATAATGGGATAAAGGGAGCATACTTGTCCATAAACATTGTTCGTTGCTGCTGCTCTATATGAGCAAAGAACTCCTCCATCTCAAAAGCTGTTGGAATATTTCTTTGTATGTTTTCATGGATTATTTGGTTTGTGAAAGTAGAAGTCCTTTTTCTAGTGGTGGAACCAGGGGTGTCAACGGCATTTGAATCCCTTATTAAACTACAAGGTGTGCTTTCCCTGGTGCTCCTGTTTCACAACCAAATTGTAATCAATATATTCTCGGCAGAAAAGAATCTAACCAAAAAAAAAAAATGACAGTCATATATGAATATAAGTATTGGCTAGTAACATAAAAATCAACCAAAAAGTTTCTGCAACAGGTGCAGGCTAACTTAACTGCTGACAGCATAACATGTTATTTGAACTTAAAAAAAAAAAACAGACGTTATTTCCCACAAAATCTCTTCAGCATAGAACAAGAGACAACTTGCTATTGAAAAAAGTAGGTGGCATTTCAATGGACAACCTCTGACTCGGTGGGCTCAAGCACTTTAAAATACAAAGCAAGAGACATCCAAAATCTTTCTCAACCATTGCAAACCCAAAAGTAATCCCATAAACACATACATCTCAACTCTGCAACTAGGACCCATGTACATCATACAAGGCATGAGAGTTACTGCTCCTTATATTACTCAAGACAAATAATCAAATGACAATCAAGGTTAAAAATAAAAACATGATGGACTCGCAATAGAATCATTTAAAACTAGTCGGTTTGAGTTCATAAAAAATCTTGTGGGAAACATAATTAAAATTAATAAATGGACTCAAAATATAACTGCACGCAGATTGTTAAATCACAATTAGATCTGCAGAGATAATAAATATCGACAAGTACATTCAATTTTATCAATTTAGAGAATTCATTTGCCATTTGGATGGTTCCATTCCATGGAGATTTTATTCAAAACTTACTCAACAATATAGTTGCACCTCAAAAATCACTACTACATCAATGCACCACTGGTTTTGTTAGACTGTGTATTTTAATGTAAAGCAACAATTGCAGAAAATAATATTTAATAACAAAAAAGTTCTAGCGGTGCCGCAATTATTAAAGACTTATACGCCAAATATTAAAATCCCAGAAAAATACAGGTTGTAATAAATAACACTATTTAGAGGGGAGCGTTAAAAAGGTTTAGAACCTATGACAAGTCACAGTTTACAAATATAACCCAACCCTTTAGTAACAACAGTCCTTTCCTTACCTCAGCACTCATGTTTGGAAGAGTATAAAATCATATTCGTCAGAAAATAAAAAATTAAAATAAATAAATAAATTCAGGGACCGAAAATTCATCAGCACCAGAAGTCGTGACTTTTCAGAATAAAAAAAATTACATGTTTACAAGAACAATTCTTCTGAAACCCTCTCCACTCTTCACTTCCCTGAAAATACACTTAAAAAGATATTTAAAATCGAGGTAATACCTATTACATGCAAGTTCATATTTTTTTTTTTAAAAAGAAGAAGAAGAAAAAATCAATTAATCTCTAGAAATTCTATTTTCCCCTTCTTACTCGTTAATTTAAACTGAAAATACCAAGAAAAAGAAAAACCTAGTAATTTTCAAGCTATACCAACCAAAAAGTGTCATACAGACACATAATCGAAAAATCACCTAAAAAACAGTAAATAGGGTGAAACAATCAGCCCAAATTTTTTTTAAAAGAAAAAAATAACAAAAAAATCCAAAATGCAAAAAAGCATTATATACTCAAATAGGTTGAAATATTAAAAAAAAAAAAAGAAGACAATTTTGAATCATAGAAATACCTGTCTCTTACTTCAACCTCCAAAGTGTTTTCCCCAAAAGAAGCCTCCGCTTCATCAATTAACCTGGAGTCGAGAGACGCACCGCAAAAGTAGGACTTCTTAGGTGGCGGCGGCGGTGGTGTGGGGATGACCTTGAGGAGGCGGCGGCTGCGGAGCTGGAGGTATTGGAAGGAGGAGGAGTCATCGGAAGTGCGGAGAGCGAGGGTTTTGGCTCTGGTTCGAACGCCGACGGGGGAAGAAACCTCCATCACTTTAACGTCACCACCACCAGCTCTTGATTTCTTCATGTACTTCCCCATCTTCCGAATTCAATTCAATGAAATTTGGGTTTGAGCGTTTTTGAGTGTGAGTGTGAATTGAGAAACGACACCCAACTTAACTCAGATTCGAAAAGGAATTGATTGAAGAGAGAGAACGAAAGAGAGAGAAAGAAAGTGACTTGGATAGGGGCGGCCAAAATTTGTACACCTGAAAAAAGTGAGGTGAAGATTGTCTCGAGTTTAGGGTTGGATGACATAGGAAAATACTATCTCTATCTTATTCTTTTTTCTCTCTCTTAATAAATAAATGTACATATTCTTTTGATTTTTTTCCTTTTAAATGAAACGATGTTTCGATTAACTTTTTTAGGAAAAAATTATAATATTAAGTTATTGAAAAAATAATTATTATAAGCAGTGATATAATGATAATAGAATAATTTGATGAGGTTATAAATTTATAGATATATTTGGTAGGAATATTATTGAGTGTGTATTTAATAATTTTAATATATTAGTTAAATGTGTCTTTGAATATAAGTGAAACTAACTATTAATACGGGTGTGAGTTCGATTTTCCGCTGGATAATGTGAAAATCCAATTGGTGATGAAATCTATAATCTCTTCAAAATATCCTCAAAGATATTGTCCTAATTAAGGCTGATGAAATAATAACGTCTAATCCCATCTAAATTTCTAACCGCGTAAAAAAAAACTTCGTGTATGAGCGAACGAGCGAATTGGAGAGAAAAAACAAAAACCTCATTATCTAATAAACACAAAACGAATATGAGACGTTTTGATTTAAGTTTAGGTTATGTATGTACGAGGCATGGCAAAAAAAAAAAAAAAGTTTTTTAGTTTTCATAAAAAAAAAAAATTCGTTTGATAAAATTTATTTGTACAAAAAAAATTTAAAATTAAAACTACATTTTTATTTTTAAAATCAAATTTAGAAAATATACAAGTTGTTTTTGTATTATATTTTCACTTTTAATTTTTAAAATATAAAAAACACAAAAGATACACGTTTCGTAATTATTCTATAAAATAATTTTAAAAAGAAAAAAAAAAACAAAACAATCAAACATACCCAAAGCATACCACAAGCGGTTCGATTTTTATTTTACTTTTTCTTAAAGCTTATAGTATTATACTATTAGGTGACTTTAAGTCTGCATGATTATATTTTGCTCTCTAATATTTTTTTTTGGAGAGAAATGTTATTTATATACTTAAGAAAAAATATACATATATTTGATAACACCCTTTTTTCTATTCTCACCGAGAGAATATATTTCTTATATAAAAATATATATTTAATAAATAGTATATTTAATATTGATAACATATTCTATGATATTTATATTTAATAAATAATGTGTCAAAGAACTAAATAAATAAATATTTTTTGTTTCTATGGATTTGTATTATCGGACTGCCCGTTTATTTTCTAAAATAAAAAGTAAACTGGACACATCAGGAGTAGACACAAGAGGGAGAGGTATAAGAGTAAACAAGGACGATCCAGACTCAAAGAAAGAAGGGGACGAGTCTTCTGAAGAACTGCTTTCCCCCTGAAGATGAGGACCCTGGAAAAGGAATCAGATTCATGAAAGGCGACATTAATAGAAAAACAAAATTTTGACTCGAAGGATGATAACACTTGTAGCCTTTTTTATTATGGGCATAACCAAGGAAGACACACTTAAAAGCCCTAGGATCCACCTTACTGTGATGTTGTTTATGAATATGGACAAAGGCAACACAACCAAACACTCGTGGCAGAAGACTCTACAAAATGGGAACATAAGGAAATAAGGAAGTCATGGAATGAATAGGACGGTTATTGTTAAGGACCCGTGAAGGTAAGTGGTTAATCAAAAAGGCTATAGCTAATACGGCTTCTCCCTAATAAGAACTAGGAATAGATGTCTGGAATAGTAGCGCTCTAGCGACTTCAAGGAGGTGATAATTTTTCTTTCAGTAACCCCATTTTTGTTGGGGATATCAACACATGTGAGCTCATGAAACATACCTCTATCTGAAATAAATTGCCACATATGTTCGTTGACGTACTCAGTACCATTATCAGTTCTTAATCTTTTAATATTCTTACCAAACTGAGTCTCGATCATGAGATAAAATCGGATAAACATCTCTGGTACTTCAGACTTGTCTTTCATCAAGAATATCCATGTCACCCGAGTACGATCGTCAAAGAAACAAACCACTTTGCACTTGAAACGCTATGCACTTTAGAAGGGTAAGAAATCCTCATTCTAATGGTTTGATTTATATGATTTAAGTTTGGAATATTATGAGCATGTGTTATGGAAAATATTTGAGTTTAAAATTTGAATTGGTTGATGGATTATTGTTGTTTTAGTTGTGGTAATGTGAAATAAGCATGAATATGTGATGAAAGTTTGAAAAAAATCCCTTGTATTCCCTCCACTAGGTTCATCCATGATGCGAAAAATTAGGGTTTAATGTTAAAAAAATAATTGGACACTTTTGTGAAGGTTTATATGTATATATAAGTTGTGAATTGAGTGAATTAATTGAATGACGCTTAGTGGTGTCTTATGTTTTGAGGCATAAATGGATGAATTAATGTGTAAAATGCGTTTTATTACCTAATGATGATTATTTTTGTATGATAAGCTTGAATTTGACGGACTAAAACATTAGAATCATGAAATTGACATGATTTCCTTTATATGCCTCTTAGTCGTTTACAAATGAAGTATGTTTTTAGAGTGCTTGTTTGTGCTAATGAGTACTTATACGGCCAAAGGACTATATAATTAGATGTTTAAACTTTTGGTTGGGTTAGATAAAAAGAAAAATGAGTAAGTTCCTTTTTTAGGCCTTATATATGATTATAGCCATTTTCAAAGGAGGTATGTGCTAGGAGTTACTGTTTTGCAAAGCGAGCATATTTTTATGCGTGGAATAATATTCTAAGGTGTATGAACCTTCGAGTTGGTGAAATAAAAAGAAAATAAGGTAGCTCCTTTGTATGTCCTTAAAACGAGTTTTGGCCATTTTCAAAGGAGGTATACGTTTGGAGTTACTGTTTCGCCAAGTGAGAACAGTTTTACGCGTAAAATAATTTATTTAGGTGGCTAAGCTTGGGTTTAGGCACTAGACAAAGAAAATTTTTATAGCTCCTTTGTAAAGGGCACTTTGCCTTAAATTGAGAAAAAAAGACTTTTAGGTGCTAAGAGGAGTAATGAGTGTTCTAAATGCCTTTTGGGACCATCCTAAGACTAAGTGAATATGTGAAATTTTGTGGGGATTTGTTGAACAAAGAACCACCCACTCATGACTTAATATGATTAAGTAAAAAGAAAATAAACAATAAAGTATGTGTCTTGTATATTTACATGGCATTATATCATTTGATTGAGTTTTGTGTTGAATTCCTTCTCTAGGTGTGCCTAGGGATTGTGAACGTTTGGATTCTCGTGGAGCAAGATAAGTAGCTTGTGTTACAAGTGAGCAAATCGGTAAAGCTTCAAAAGGTAAGCTCTATGTTTATGGGATTCGCTCCTACTTTGTGTTCCACCATAGTGTACGGACTGTGGTCGAGTTGTATGATATGTATGAGATATATGATATAGATGCATTCATATAGAGCTATATGATAATATGATATGTTTTATTTTGATGTGATTTCTGTAATGATCTTTAACCATTGATCCTTGTGCACTGATGTCTACTTGGGGTCCTACCTAGGGACTAACTGTGTACAACTTTGTTATGTTTTTGGTTCCGCTTGGGGTCCTCCCTTGGAAACATGTGAACTGATGTCTGCTTGAGGTCCTCCCTCTGGACTGACTGTGTACACCTTTGATATGTTCTAATTCCGCTTGGGGTCCTCCCTTGGGAACACGTACACTGATTTTCGCTTGGGGTCCTCCCTCGGAAATGACTACGTACATCTTTGATATGATATACTTTGTTCTGATGTGATTATTGTGTTGATTTTCATAAATGAATTTATGTGCATTGATTTCCGCTTGGGGTCCTCCCTTGGGAAATACTACGTGCATCTCGAATAAGATATGTATATATGCAGTTTAGTTATGATATTTGTTACGTGCGTTGATTTCCGCTTGGGGTCCTCCCTTGGGAAATACAACGTGCATCTCTGATAAGATATGTATATATGCTCAGTTTAGTTATGATATTTGTTACGTGCGTTGATTTTCGCTTGGGGTCCTCCCTTGAAAAATACTGCATGCATCTTTGATAAGATATGTGTATATGCTTGTTCAGTTATAATATTTTCTTATATGATGTTTTGTATATTATGTATCTGACTGTCATGCAGGAAGTGAGCTGTTGTGCAATTTGTAATCAATTAAATCTTCCACACAAAACTATTATTTTTGTGAGCTTTGCTCATGTGCATTGGCACTTATTTTATTTTTGTTCTTTTGACTTTGATTTTTCTTTTTGTGAGGGGCTTTCTTTTTCACTTGTGCTTTTGTACTTGCTTTAGCTCGGCTTCTTTCACCCTTATAACCTTCAAGACTTACTCATATGTAATATTCAAATCCATCAAACCTTGAATCCTAAGTCCTCATCCGCAATCAACTCTTTTGGCTTCTCTTGCTTTCAAGTTCATTCCTTGTGCATGTTCAATCACTCCAGTTGCTTTCTGCTTTGATCATGTCAGCCTCCAATTCATACCTCCATTGCTTTGCAAATTCAAGTTGAAAAACACTTACTCTTACTCAACGTAACTACTGTTATCCTGCTACAGCAAAAAGGATCATAACAACATAGCTAAGGATGCAATCTGTTTTACCTTATTGATGCAGCATTAATTCTAACTTCTTGTTACTCATTATTTTTCAACTCTTTTTCTTATTTTCATGCTGTAACACATACCTCACTTCTTTATTCACACAAAACTGAATTTAAATTTACTGAATTTAAAATCTAACTAACTAGCAAACATGTTCCTCTTTTTCATTAATTTCCTAAGTGATTCAGGGGATTATATATATAGCAAAAAGAAAATAAAAGAGCAATACAACTTAGATATTTTTTCTTCTTCTAAATCAAAACTATTACAAGTTATGATCTAGTCTTCATCTTGTTCTTCTTGGTCTGAGGGGTTATCTTCCATGTTTTTATCTTTTTGCTCAACCTCCTCTTACATTTCTTCTTCTTTTTCTCCTTCATCATTACTCCCTTGCTGCATCGGCTTTGC